GCCTCATGCTTGTTTGGGACAGGAAGCAGCCATCTCTGCAGGCCTTGCTTTAACGTCTACATTAGGGACAAGGACGTGAGTCCAGACTGGGGGCTCCTATGGGGAAAGCCATGGGAGTGAGCTTGGAGGAAGGAAGTTCCCCCTTGACGTTCCATCAGAAGCAGGGGAACTTCCTCTCCCTTGTGTTGAAGGAGTGATCCAGACCCCAGGGAAAAGGCATCGGCACAGTCATTTCCACACCAGCTGTGCAACTCCAGTATCCCACCACTCTGATCCCTGGAGACGCAGCTCAGCCAGGGGCCATCCCTGGATCCCTGCTTCAGGAGGATCAGTGCTGAGAGTTTAGAGGTAGCTCCAGAAAGCATCATCGCTGGGAGGGTAGTGAGTGGGGGGTCTCCAGCCCTGCCCCACATTCAGTACAACAGGGTGTGTGCTCCAGCTGCTTGTGCCTGGCACATACTGGCTTCTGGGAAGGGAATGTGGCAGAGCACAGAGGGGAGACAGGATCAGAGCACGGAGGATTTCTCCAGCTCACGGACATGGTTGGCATAGACATGGGTGACAGCCTGGCCTGCTGCTCTTTTATAAATTGCTGTGTGCAGAGACCCCTCTCCTGCTTAGCTGTGAAATGTCCGAGAACAATACTGACCCACCACAGAAATGACTTTGAACTCTAGGAAGTGTGCTGGCTTGCTGCAAGCTCTTCTTTACTCTCGCTTTCCTACCTTCGTAATTAAAGCACTTTAGTAACCCCAGCTGGGAAGAGCTGGAGAGCATTCGAGAAACATTCCAGAGCCTTGCCTCATCTCTAAGTAGGATCCACCGGGCCCTGCCGTGCTCTTGCGTCCTGCAGCTCAGAGGCAGATGCAGCTGATCGCAGATCCCCCAGATCTCAGATGCAGCGTAAGGCAGAGATAGCAAGCCAAGGGAAGGAAAAAAGAGAGAGATTTGTCCATTTGATCTGGGTTCTGACTCCTCAGTGCATTTACTGTATAAGCTTCAAAGGGAGTGAGGGGGGAAAAGGGCTATTTGAGGTTGTATCTGTTGCAACATGCAAGTGCATAAAAGGGCACTAGTCTTTATAGGCAAAACAAAGCCCCCCTCAGAGGCTGGCCATTTGATAAGTGATGATGGTACACAGTGACATTGGCATGTTGCTACTATGGAAGGGGTACAGAATAGAGGGCACTTCCCCCTTGCACCCTGGCTGGGCCTGGCACAAGGAGGGCAGCATTTAAAGGATTAATGTAGCTATCTTTCTTCCAAGAGTACAAGCAGGCTTTCATATCACAGGCCTGCAGGACAGGGTCAATTATGTTGCTGAGCTTCCACACAACAGGAGGGTTTAACCCAGACAGGATAAACATGCTACAGGTCATTTCCTGAACCAAGTGGCCCCCGGACCAGCAGAACATCTGCAATGTGGACTCCTTGGCTGCATCCAGATGAGTGCGGTCATGCGGTACGTGGCACTAAAGACACATCTGCAGCGCCACATACCACACATTTAGCTGCAAGGCAGCAATGGGGAGGGGGGGGTTGACTCCTAAATATCCAGGGATCAAAAAAAAAAAAAAAGCAGAGTAGCGCATATGGGGGCAACATGTGCCACTCAAAACTGGAGACTGGCTGACCAGAGCCATACTCCAGCTGCTGGCCAGGCTCCAAGTGGCAGGATCACTGCTGCTGCAGCAATGGAAGCACCCAGGACTGCAGGTGAGGCTGCTAATACCAGCCCAGTACTGGCCCCAGCCTCCCCTACCCTACCCAGGGTAACCTGCTGCTGGCCAGAGGGTGCATGGCACAGGCGCTCCCCAGAGACAACTAGCAGCGGCACAAGGTGCCCTACAGCTAGCTGTCCCTGGGGAACCAAACATACATGCTAACGTGTACGCGGCCCTAGAGAATGACAAGGGGAAGGGAACAAGGGAAGATGCAACCTACCCCATTTCCCCAGTCCCATTCTGTATATATGGGAATGGCAGGTACATTTATGTGTTTGTCAAGCGATTTCAGCCTTATTGCATTTCACTGGGCAAGCCTTTCTGAACACCATCCACCACCCAAGTCTACCAGGCCAGCTTTTGATCTCAGATTCATGAACACCACTGACCTCAGGAGACTTATTCCAGATGTATGTTAGTGGGGCCAAAAGGAGAATCAAGCCCTGGACAATCAGTCAGGCTGCAGATGACATATGGCACAGTTTACACCATGGACAGGTCTCTTTATCTGTGGGCAGAGCAAAGGTGCCCTCATGAAACACTGTGGTTAATCCCTTCTATGCTGGTGCAGTGGCTCTACAGGAGTTTCTTCTTGGACCAATAATATAACCTGCCTTTTGGGGCTGATTGTTCAATAGTGCCCAGATAAATGCTGGATGTACTCCATTACAGAGCCACTCCTTCCCCTTTGATCCGAACACTGTCTGATCTGAAACACATGAAGATATACACCTCCACAAGAAAAACCAGCAGTACACAGAAAAATAGACAGGGACTTGAGAGCTGGAGTTGCATGGTACATCAGCACCATCAGCTGGACAATTTGGGGAACAGCAGGCCCAGGACCTACGAAAGGTACCTCTTGCAAAAAGATCTTGCATAACATACCCTGAAGGTGTAGTAGAATACAGCAGGCACAGGATGAGGCTCCCAACTGCTGGGTACCATAGAAGAATTGGAGGCAGATTAAGGATTTAGCTAAACCCTTAAGGAAGTAGGAGAAAACCATGTCCCACTTCCCGTAGGGAGAGTAAAACCTGTCCAGGGTTTGAAAGCAGATAGTGAATTATAGCAAAGGTGTTAGCTAGCATTTGCACCATCCATCTTGGGACTCCACTGAGCGACAAGCTGAAGAACCACTTGTGGTTCAGGGGCATGGCTCAATAATACTGCCCTTGAGCTTGGATTGGGCACCCGTTCTTTTGCACTTCACCGTTGTCTCGGACGGCCAGAGCCAACTCGAGTTACGTTAGAAATTGGTCGTACGTTAGGGCGGGCTGGTGAATGGAGAGGCAGACACAACTTATTGGTTGTAAAAAACTTTACTCACGCCGCCTGCAATCACGACACAGGTGGTACGGTCGTCGGAACAACCACACGAGTTGTTCCAGCTGGCGGGGCCCAAGCCAGTTAATCCGTCCGCAATTCGAAGCCGGCGGGGAAAGGGGTACGTCGGGGTTTTGCTCGGTGACGGGAAGAAAGATCGATAGGTGATCAGTCTATCGATCAGCAGCCGCAAGTCAGATAACTTCAGAGGCACTCTGCAGCGTGCTCAAAGCTCTTCGACTTGGACGGAAGTCGCGCGGAATTTTAAACGGCCAGCGACCCAATTACTAGCCGCCACGTGTGAATAATTTAGCACTGGCCAATAACGGGGCACAAATTTGCACTCGAATGGCGGGAACTCTTTGCACCGTGCATCTCTATGCTGCAAAGAAGAAATGCATCCTGCAAAGGAAACTGCAAATTGGCGGGAACTCTCCTGTACGCAGGCTCTTAATTGCAGCAGAACACTCTGCCGTGCAAAGGAGCTCTCTTGTGGCCAGGAAATTCCATAGTGCCGAGGCACCAAAAATCACTGGGTTGTGACAACTGTTCTCTAGTATTACTCCTGCGTGCCAGCTTATCAAGAAAGTGTGTCCGCCTTTTAGTAGTAGACAAAACATCTGAGGCCTGCTGGGGTAAGGGAGTTTTTGTGAGCATCAGTCATAGCTACTTTACTTTTCTTTTTTGAACTAAGCTGCATTACTGAAAATGATCATTTAATTAAAACCATTTTGATTGGCACATACTGTTGACCCAGTATAAGCGACCTAGACTGCGACTGACGGTGATTGATCGGTACCTTTGAACCCCACCTACCCACTGCATCAAACACACCTTTGTCTAGCACTATTCAGAGATTCCAGGAACTGGCTGCTCCCTCCTTGCACTCAGAATTCCCTGGCTGGCTGGGCACGGCAGTCAAAGGGGTTTGGTTTTCAAACTACTCTCATTGTGAGTTCATTGGAACAGATCAAGGCTCTTAATTTGTTCAAGCACTGAGCATAATGATAGTAATAGCTGGAAAGAGCCAACAAGAAAAGCAGCCATAGCACAAAAGAAATTAAAAAGCATTTCCATACCTGTAGAGAATCCGGGCAGCATGCCCAACGAAATGAAACGTTAGATGAGAACTCCTCCTGGTGGAACACTGTGGCACTAACATAGGTCCTACATGTTACATTTAATACATTAATTGTATTCTATTAATAACTTACAGTATTAACCAGACTCAAATATAGACTCAAATCTATAGATTAAGTCACCCGTATCATTAAAATAAAGCTAATGAGAGAAAGGTGAATTGATTAAAAATACTAAAATATTTATTGATTTCTTCACTTTACTAGATTTTAAGACGTGATTGATTATAGCAACCTTAACTGAGCATAAACAAGTTTTTAAACCTACCAGATTCTTTAAAATAAGGTATCATTTCACTGAAAGCCTCCAAAATAATGAAATATTACTGAACTCCTTTTGATTAAGACACGGGCAGAGGCATATTTTAAGGGAATTATAAAACCAATTACTAGAAAGCCATTCAATCTTAAATTGTAATTGGATAAATTGATTGGTTGAATGGGGAAAAAAAAAAATACAAGAATCAAAATAAAAGATGATCAATAAAATGTGTGTTTGGCAAAGTTTTTCTTGAAAGTGCTCTTGCCGTTATAGATACATGCTCCATAAAAGTGTCATTCTATGAAAGGAAGATCAGGCTGCCAGAACTTTCTCGTGCCTACAAAGTTTACTGTTACTTCTTCTCCGTCATACCAACAGCAAAGGTGCACTGATAATACAGGGACCACTCTTAACACCAACCCAACTCACACCCCTTCCATCCTTTCAATGCCACTTGCAAATGACTAGGAGACACAGCTGCACCACAGAAGTTTCTCTGAAAAGTTTGAGAGAGAAAACGCTACACAAGCAAGATAAACATAGACCATGAAAAACAGATCTGTTTTTATTCCCCTTCCCTTTGAATTCCTGGGAAGGGAAAATCCACGGTTCTTTCATGCCATAGCCCCTGCATACAAATGAAACACTTAAACAGGCACTTAGCTTCCAAACCACTCAACAAGAACAGTCATTAACCCTCAAAATACAACATGAGGTAGGTTAAAAATCACTCTCCCCATTTTTCAGAGGGAGAAAACGAGGCATAGCAAGGTGAACAGGCCAGCAAGATCCACCAAGGGAATCAGTGCGATACCTGGGATATAGACTCGGAAGCCACAGACTCAACCCACTAAACTTCAACTCCCTTCCTCTCCAGGATGTTGTCAGCGCCAGTGCAGCTCTTGCTCATGGGACTTTCTGAGTCAGTGCATTTGATTTAAAAAGCAAAAGGCTCCTGTCCCAGCTGGTGCTCCCAAAGCAGCACACCAGCTCCATGGCACCGTCCCTAGTTAAAATCTGGGTTACCTTCTCGGCCATGTCCCCACTGATGGCAAGAGATCGGAAGTGATCGAAGTCGTTTCTGCCCAGCTTCCGGAGGCGGCGTGCAGCGGCTCGGTAACACTTCCAGGGTTGGGGTTCAATAAGCAGGTACTCACACAGAGAGGTGAGGCAGGATAAGAACTCCACCAGCCCATTATCCCCATGGTTCAGGTGGATCCACATAGTCACTGACATACAAAAGCAGATGTCAAAGGTGGAGCGGCCAAACTTGCTTAAAAAGTTGCTCAGAGAGGACTCCCTGGCACCAGCATCCATGATATCCAGGGTGGTATAGTGGATGGAGGCAGGAAAAGGGCTGCACTGCTGGGCCCTCTCAATCAGTGCAGCATCAATGTCACAGCATAGGAGGTTCAGATCTTTTGCCACTACAGGCTGATCGGGGCTGGCTTCGTTCTCGGGCAGGCCAAGGAGATGTCGGTATAGAGCAACACTTAGTTCCTGCAAGAAGAAAAACCAACATGGGCTCACACATAACTAAGTGTATGTGGGCTCCCCAAAATAAGAGCCAATTTACAGGCAAAATGGAGGCATTAAAACAGTTAACTTGGGATCATTCCATGAGGACCCAATCCAAAACTCATTTAAGTCAATAGAAGTCTCTTTATTGGTGCTGTTAGTCTTTGAATTCAGGCCTCGAGTCAGCAAACCCAGGAAAAGAATTCAAGTATCCGGACACCCAAGATCCTAGTTTAGCTCTAGAGATTAATTCCATGTCTTGTGAATGCCCCCTTCCTTAGGGAGATAAATGCTATGTTTGACCTCCCACAACAGGGCTCAAAGGACCTGGAACAGGCTGCAGGCTGGATTAGTCAGGCAGTTGGCAACAAGCCACCCAGGTACATAAGAGGCCTCAGCTGGCAGGCTATTAATGATAATGAGGGGAACTGACAGGCTGATTGGAAATATAAAAAAAAGGAAGGGGGAGTGGGAGGAACCAGGGGGGGAAAAAAATGTTGAGATGGAGGGAGGACTCCTGTACAGAAGAACACAGGGCAAGAGTTAACCCATGCTGGGAGTGTTTATTTTGGATTGTTTGATATTTGCAACTGAACCCTTGATGCAGATCAACCCTGGGGTTTTGAAGCCTGTGTTGCTGGGACCAGGCTATGGGCATAGTCTTTTGGATGGTTTTGCTTTTGGCTGAGCCCTGGGAAGCAGAGGAATCCAGGGTATTACAGCTTGTGGTATTGAGCCCATAGAAAGATTGTGTTACTGAAACCAATAGAAGGACTCAAGGACTGATTTGAGCTAGGCGAGCCGGTAACCCACTACAGAACCCTTACAGCGAGAATAACCATTGATGAGGCCTGCATTATAGTAAAGACCAGATCAGACTTATCCATTCATTTCTCCAAGTGCTATATTTCAATATACTTTGAAGCCATAGGACTGTGACATAAAATAGGGTTATTTTTTTCCCATTTCCTTTTGCAGGCTAGACTACATGAATCTTCTCTTACAAAACAGCTGACATCATCCAGGAATTTAATCACAGAACAGTTATCTGAGTACGTCTTCAGCATCCAAAAAAGAAAGAGTATTGGGCTAGACAGGAACACAGTGTCCTCTAGTGGACAAAAAGCCTTTCCAATGCCTTCCGCCTTTTAAAGGGAATTACAGCCTTGTGACTAGATTCCTGGCTCGCCAGTGTTAAAATCCCTTTGGAAATGAGATGCAGTGTACTGCTATAGATAACGCAAAGAACCAAAGCAGCATACAGCTTCCTAAAAACCATCATAACAACGACTCTGCAAATGCAGGCAGCAAGAATGAAAAAATGGCCCTTTCATTATGAACTGTTGTTATTAATTTATGTTTAAAGACACATGCATATAAATGTTACAAGAGTAACATAGAAAAAAAAAGCTATGTACAAAATCCCTCATGCAGACTTAAAAAAATTGGCTATATTCCCCATAACAAGCCAGAGTGTAGAATTTGCACTCAGCTTTTCATAGTGTATTCTGTTCTTCAGATGTGTCAAAAAACATTCTTTAGTGCCTCTCAATATAGCACATAAAATACATCGCTCAAAAAAGCTTAAAAAGGCCAACTACTCATAATCAATCCCACATGGATAACCAGTCATCATTACCAATCCCACTAGAGTGACAAAGTTGTGCAACAACAATACAGTATCACTGTCTGTGTTTGGACCATGCAGACATTAAGCCTCATTGTACTAAGCTAATCTACTGCTGCTAGAAATTAAATAATGAAAGCTTGCCTTGCCTTTTATGATAAGCCTCACGCCTAAAATCCAATGGGAGCTGGGTCTCTACATCCTTTAAGTTTGATACTTGTGGCCTATCTAGCCCCACAGGCCAGATGAATGGTGCAGGATCAGGATCAGGGTCATGGACCACCCCCAACCCACACACAGTGCCTGGTTCAGCTGCTCCAGGACCCAGTGAGTGGAGGCCCTCAGGCACTTCCCTGCCACCACGGGAACAAAGAGCAGGCCACTGGGACTCTAGTTGTGCCCAGGGGAAGTTCCCTTATTGCAGCCAGAGTCCAGGCAACAGTCTGCAGGCCAGAAGACCCAACTCTGAGGGTCCAATCCAGCCCACGGACCAGACATTTGACACTCCTGCTTTAGGCACCTTTGAAAACAGCATCTTTAACTACCTGAACCCCTGGTCTTGACCTGGGACCAGGGCTAGTGCTCCAATCATCAGCCAAGGGACCACAAGATCCCATTAATACAGCATAGCTGGGGAGCAAACACCTGCACGCGATTCACCCGACAAAGGCAGAGATCTTAGCTAGGAACCCACAGCTTTGGGGACATCCCAACCTGCTGCCATCTTCCCAAGTCCATTACAGCCTATGACCGGCTCCAATACTTCTGCATGGCCAGGAATGAACAAAAGGACGGGCTGGACTCCCCTGGGCCTGGGCAGAGCGCTCTAGTATCTCAATTCCCTCCTCCAGTGCTCGCACGGGCTGCTGCTGCTACAATGGGACGCACCCACAGAGTGGTAGTGGATGGGTCGGCGCTGACCTGGAAGGATGCGGGCAGTGGAGTTCCCCAAGGCTCGGTCGTTGGACCAGTGCTGTTCAATGTCTTCAGTAACTTAAATGAGGGTGTGGAGAGCATGCTGTCCAAACTCGCAGATGACACCAAATTATGGGGTAAAATAAACACCCTAGTGGGCAGGGAACAAATCCAAGCGGATCTGGACAGGTTGGAGAAGTGGGCACAACAGATCAGGATGCAATTCAACAAGGACAGGTGCAAAGTGCTGCACCTGGGGAGAAGGAATCACCAACGCATTGGCAGGCTGGGGGACGAGCTTCTCGGCAGCACAGCAGCAGAAAGGGATCTCGGAGTCGTAGCTGACTCCAAAACGAACACGAATCGCCGATGTGACAAAGCGATCGGTAAAGCTAATCGCTCGTTATCGTGCGGCAGTGGGTGCATCACGAAAAGCTCCAGGAAGGCGATGCTCCCCCTGTGTGCAGCGCTGGTCAGACCGCAGTCCTGGTTTGGGCGCCGCACTTCAAGAGGGACGTGGACAGCGTGGAGAGGGTCTGGAAGAGGCTGCTCGTGTGGTCAAGGCCCTGCAGCTAAGGCCCTATGAGGAGACACTGGGAGACCTGGACCTCTTCAGCCCCCGCAAGAGGGGCTGTGACCACCTACAAATTCATCGGGGCGGGAGGGCAGCATGGAGTGGCAGATGCGCTATTGATTAGGGCACCCCTTGGGGGAACTAGCAACAGCAGAAACTAACTGACGGAGAGCAGATTTCTCCTAGGATCAGCCAAGGAGCCTCTCCCCTTCGTCCCGGCGGTGCTCAGCCCCCCCTTGTACCTCCTCAGCCCCCGGACGCGCTCACCCCCGAGTTGCAGCCCACGTCGAGGCCCAGCAACGGGCGGGCCCGGCCCCCGGCGGGGAAGAGGCGCCGCAACAGCCCGCTTGGCAGCAGGCGTTGGGGAAGTTGCCGTACGGCGCCGCCCCGGGCTCCAGCCCGCCCGGCGCCGCCGCCGCGGCCTCGCGCCTCATGGGCGCCGCCATCTTGAGTCCGTCAGCCCCTCCTTCCGGCCGGCAACGCCGCGCCCGCCCGCGAGTTCCGGTGCACAGGGGTTCCGGGTGGCGGAACTGCGCATGCGCGAGGGTGGAAGGCAACCTTGCAAGGAGCAGAGAAGATGCTCAAGGGTTCTGTGCATTAGGGGCCTGTCCCATTAGCCTGGCTGGTCTCACTGGGAGGGACCTCACCCCCAGCAAAGTCACAGCCATGGTAGTAAGATGGTCTGGGTGCTTACACCTCAAATGAGCCCCCCCTCCCCAGAGGCAGGGATGGGGAAACTGAGGCACAGAGAGAGCAAGCGAGGCATCCCAGGACTTCGACTTGTCAGGGGGTCTTTGCCGTTAGGCTGCGCTGCTCCTCTCCAGCTGAAGCAAGAGGCGAGCTGCACGAGGGCAAGAGGAGAGCAGGGAAAGCAGCGTCAGATGGATGGAGTCAGGAGGAAGGGGCGCCTGCCTGCGGTCCGTGGCAGAGCAGGCTTCTCGTGCCCGCACACCCGCTCCTAGCAGAGCCCTGATCTCAGAGCTGGATAAGTCGATAATCTATTGAGGTCCCTTCCGACCCTAACATCTATGAATCTATGAAAGTCAGCGGTGCAGCCAAGTCCTTGGGCGCGCCTGCCAGCTGGGCTGATGGCCTCCAGAGCCTGGGGTGGCCTTGCAGACAAGGATCTTTGGATGAATCTGATATCTTTTATTAAACCAGCTTAAATAGTTGGGGGGAAAAAATTAGCAAACTTTCAGTTTAAAAACCCTTCATCAGGCTGAGGAAGTCTCTGCAGTTGGTGTGTGCTCTTCCTGGCTGGAATGAATAGTCAAGGTGACCTTGCAGCTCATTTCCTATGAAAGCTAAGGCTCTTGTCACAGAATCGGAGAACGTGAGGGGGGAAGGGAGCTCAGGAGGTCACATCGAGTCCAGCCCCCTGCTCCAAGCAGGACCAGCCCCAAGTACATCATCCCAGCCAAGGCTTTGTCTACCCGGATCTTCAAAACCTCCAAGGATGGAGAGTGCACCACCTCTCTGGAGAGCCTGTTCCAGTGTTTTACCACCCTCCTCATGAGACTGTTTTTTCTAATATCTAACCTACATTTTCCTTGCTACAATGTGAGCCCATTGCTCCTTGTTCTGTCACCTGCCCGAACTGAGAACAGTCCAGCTCCATCCTCTTTGGAACCACACTTCAAGAAGTTGAAGGCTTTAATTAAATCTCCCCTAGGTTTGTCTCTTCTCCAGACTAAATAAGCCCAGTTCCCTCAGTCTCTCCTCATAAGGCATGTGCCCCAGCCCCCAAGCCATGTTCATTGCCCTCCACTGGACTCTCTCCAATTTCTCCACCTCCTTTCTTTAGTGGAAGGCCCACAAGTAGACACAGGACTCCAGATGTGGCTTCACCAGTGCTGAATAGAGGGGAAGAATCACTGCCCTTGATCTGGCAACGCTCCTACCAGTGCAGCCCAGGATGCCATTAGCCTTGGCAAAAAGGGCACGCTGCTGATTCATATTCAGCTTTTATTGTCCACTGTAACCCTCAGGTCCTTTTCTGCAGAGCTGCTGCCAGTCAGCCCCCAGCCTATACCAGTGTATGGGATTGCTCTGTCCTAAGTGCAGGTCTTCGCACTTGTCCTTGTTGAACCTCAAGAGATTTCTTTTGGTCCAGTCCTCCAATTTGTCAAGGTCTCTGTGAATTCTAGCCCTGCCCTGCATTGTATCTACTGCACCCCCCAGCTTGGTGTTATCTATAAACTTGCTGAGGGTGTACTCCCTATCTTCCAGGTCATTGTCCTTTGACTTCACTGCTTTTGATGTGATTTCAGCAGTGGTGCTCTACCTTTTGGCTCTGCAGACCAGATGAATGGTATGGGGCCAGTCCACAAGCCAGATCAGGCCCCTTGCTGCCTCACCAGGATCAGGACCTGCACTTCCCCCCTTCATCCCCACGCACCTGGATTGGGCCGCTTGCTGCTTCTGTGGGCCCTGCATGCCCTGATTGGTCCTGTGCTGCCTTCAGCTAGATGCAGGCAGTGAGCCGTGCCACCATCACCCAGCCCAGCACACCAGGATCAGGCCATGCCACCTCTGCTTGGCCCAGCACATGGGATCAGCCCCTGCGCTGCCTCTGCTGGGCCTCATCTGCTCAGTATAGCACACATGGGCACGTTATCCAGCAGGGAAATGATAATTGCTGCCAGCCAAATTTTCAGACTTGTAGGGAGCCCTTTGGGCCAGACAACACAGCTCAGTGGGCTAGATCTGGCCCATAGGCTGGGGGTTGAGCACCTCTGAATTACAGCATCACAGGTGGGAAGCAGCCTCAAACCCCGTACTGCATACATGCTGCTGTGTCAAAGACACAAGGTGTCTCTTCTTTTGAGCCTGGGATGATTGCATCAGTCACCAGCAAGGGGATGCAAGTGAGTTAGGCAAGACCACACCTGCAACCTCATTCCAAGGAAAGCTTCTTCCCATATGACGACTTGTGACCCATATTTTAGATCAACAGAGAGTCAGTCTGGGGATTAGGACATCCGTGGGCTTCTAGGCCTCATTTTAGCAGACACAGTCATGCCAGCTCTCATGCTTTATTAGCACATATCACAATTTCTCACATACTGTATTTCCTCACAAACAGCACACCCCCAAATAAGATATGCACCTTCTTTTTGAGAGGCAAATGAAGAAAAAAAGATCTCTCCTTGAAAACACTTGTAAGTAGCAGAAACTGGGTGCATCTACACATGTGCGTTACTGTGCAGTAGACTAAGTTACTGAGCAGTAAAGCGTCACCATCTATACATGTATCACAATTAGGGTGCAGTAGATTAATTTACTCTGGTGTAGGGTACTTCTGATAAACACAGGTACTATCCGACAACAGAGTAAATTACTGCGCTTAAATGCACATGTAGATAGTGACATTGGGATTAGTTTACCCCGGCTCAAATTGCGCCAGAGTTTATTCAGTCCCATTAATTACGTGTGTAGAAGTGCCCACTAACTAGCAGCAGTAAAGGTGCCATCCATACTCATTCTGCTTCTCCCTGTAGAGCACGTGCAGCATTACTTTTGCTTCTTCCTGGCAGAGACCTACACTGTAGAAATCCCTATTACTGTCCCTATTACTGTAGTTCTTATGTGCACCCCAATTTTCAGCAGCTGTTTTTTGGGGGGGAAGTGCATATTCTATGTGAGAAAATATGGTATCTCATACTGTCCACATGCAAAAGTTGTTCTAATAATATGTCGACCTTGCATTTTCAGGTTCAGTTTTAGGGAAAATAAACTGGCTTTTTCCCTGAATATATATAACTATAGAAAAAGAAGTGGAATGGCTATTGCCCTTTGAAAATCCCCAAGAAAAATCAAGTAAATAAGGAAAAGATTAAATACGCTAAACTATTACAATTAAAACCGTACTGGAAAAACCGCTGGATTGGTATTTCTATTGTCTTCCCAAAAAAAACACTGCAAGGAGCTGCAGGAGTTTTGAAACCCCTGGACTAGAAGAACTGTTGGCATCCCATCCAGCTTGACATTCCTGTGGATCTATAGCTGGGGGAAAATAACCATGGGCTGAAGCATGTGATTGTTGTGCTCTGGGGGCTGGGGCACCACTCCTGGATACCAGAAGAAATGGGTTCTCATTATGGCTCATTGCCTTGTTGTGTGATCCAGACTAGACTGGAAGCTCTTTAAGGGAGGAACGCTTTTTGCCTGCGTACTTATGAATCACTGAGTCACTGGGTCACTCATTTTAAGCAGGCACTCATCTCAGAGTCAGAATACCAGACTGTAAATAATAATGAGGTGAGTGAACAAACAGGCAGTGCTTTTGGTCGCTCTCCTTGAATGCCAGCTTCTCCTAGATCCCTCAAGATCTGCTTTTCTTCTGAAGGGCTGTTTCTAAGGACTCGTTTTATTTAATCATTCAGTTATAATGACTAGTATTATTTCTTCTTTGCCAAACGGCAATGCAAGTAATTCCACCCTGCCTCCTCCCTCCTTGCCACCCTTCACTGTTGGGAGGTGGTGTGCTGTTTAAACAATGCCCCCTTCCATCCCAGCAGCAAGTGCATGTCAAAGGGTGCATTTCAAAGAAGTCCCATGATGGGTTTGGATTCTGGGAGGATGGAACAATGTAGATTCAAGGGATTATGCCAAATAAGTAGAGATCTACTAAATAGAAGAGGCTGTCTGTCAGGCAGCCCTGCCCCTCAACACTGATGGTGGGAGAGACATGGGACCACATAACAGGCAACCTTCCCAGTTGCGGCGAGGGTGGCAGGAAAGTGCACGCAGAGAATGGCTTCATCATATTGTTGAGTGTCTGTGAACCTACCTTTCAAGCTAGTGATGAAGACAAGAATGGTCTCATTTCTGTGAGTTTTCTCAATCTCTTCTTCAAGTTGTTGGTAGACGACATTAATACAAGGGCTGTCCGGATCAAAGTGCTGCCTTCGTTAGGCTTTCCTGAGAGCTTCAGAAAAGCATTGGAGCCTCTTCAGAGATCCGGCCATAGGGTATAATGGGGAACCAATGAAATATCTATAACTTTGTTGTTTTTTGTCTGATTTGGATGAAAGTTGCAGCAGTGGTAGTCTCTGCTGAGAGCATGAAGCCTGCCAAGTTTTAAGTTCTATGCAGGGGTTTGGGGGGAACTGCACCCCAAATTCTTGAAAGCAAAACTCAGGTCATTTGTGTGTGTTACCCCACAGTGGGGTCAAAACTGCAGGGGTGGTGGCCCCTGGTGAGGCCACAAAGCCTGCTAAGTTTCAAGGAGATAAGTGCAGGGGTTTTGGGGAAACTGCACCTCAAGCTGCTGACAGGCAAAACTCATGACATGGGTGAACCTGTGTGTGTTAAGGCACAGCATGGTGAAAGCCGCAGGGATGGTAGCCCCTGCTCAGGCCACGATGTCTGCCAGCTGTCGAGATCGGTGCAGGGGTTCTGGGTTCTGGGGCCCTGCACCCCTAGCTGCTGACAGACGAAACTCGTGCCATGGATGACCCTGTGTGTGTTAAGGTGCAGCAGGGTGAAAGCTGCAGGGATGGTAGCCCCTGCTCAGGTCATGATGCCTGCCAGCTGTCGAGGAGATCAGTGCAGGGGTTCTGGGTTCTGGGGCCCTGCACCCCTAGCTGCTGACAGACAAAACTCATGACATGGTTGCTTGTGCACCTGTCTGTCTCTGTCTTGGGGCAGTTCATTGTCTGCATTG